AACAAACTGCTAACAAAATGAGACGGGTGGATATATTAAATACTTTGTTGGTATATTGTAAATGTTTACGCCTTTTGTTAAAAATAAGACACTCATATATATATATATATACATACATATACATACATATGACGCAAGTTAATACTAGTATTGTACGGCTAAGCAAAATTTGCACCAGGGCAAAAATCTTGTTGAAGTTTTTTTACTACGTGGTAGGAGTTTAATTCTGTCCCAATTACTGGGTCATTTCGCTCTTTTTTATTATCTACGGCTTCTATAAATACGGGAACTCTCATTATACGTCGTTGGTATTATACGCAGGTATTTAATTATTCAAACAAATAAGTGCATCTGGAATAGATTAGCAAAATGATAAATGTTGATGCTTATGCTTGGCTTTAGGAAATGGTAATGTTGGCTCGTCATAAAATGCGACGTTAAGTGATAGGTAAACAAGTTAGCAGTGTCGTAAACGTAAGACAAAGTGGTGTTTTGAAAACGTAGCATTTCGCTCTGAACAGAAGCATATAACTCTGACCTCCCTATTACCACCCAGAAATGCATTTAAAACTGAAAAGCTTGTAATAAATTTAGAAATTTTTGATATATTGAAAACAATTAAAACAAACTCATATGGATATTAAGCATGTAAATATAATACAATGAAGAGGCGCACGAATAAAAGTCGTCAGATATATAAATCGTTATATCACTATTACCCAACATTTCTGCCACTAGATGGCAGTAAGGGGCGTAAATGTAGCTGCATATCTGTTGGTGGAGTATTCTGTGTGAAATAAAGTATATTGCAATGAATGCGACGTACGTGATTTTTATACGTAACTTGTTTAAACATTTCTGTAAAGACTATACAATCATACAGATATTTTAATTAAAAACACAACAATGTCCTGTAAATTTTAACGCGTGCGAAATTCCCACAAGCACGCATCTTCTCATATTAAATTATACATATATGCGTACTAGCAAAATGTTCTCTTATAAGCCAACTACGCTTGCCCGTATCGCAAATGTCGTTGTGTTTTAAATATCGCATTCGAAGCTCACATAATAAAATATATAAACCGTAAAATATGTAACACGTCACTAGTGATAAACACTATTATATCAAAGCCATACATTTATGACTTTACAGTTGATAACACACGCGCTTAATGCTTGCCTAGAACACAGAGCCTGGCCGCCTCAGCCACACGCTCTCCTTCAGATATCGTCCTCCACTCGCTCCTGCCGCGTGTATAATAAAACCAATGTTCTGGAAACGCTTGCTAACGAACGCTGCACCCTACGCGTCACGTACTCCTCGATAAAGGGGGAATTTTTATAACAACGTCTTCTATATATACGAGTATAACCTACGAAAGACCTTGTAACGGGTACATTACTGCAGCCGTGGGTGCCCGGTAACAACCTGGAGATGTCGATTGAAGTAATGATGGCGCTCAGGGTTCGATGCTTGCTCAGCTATATAATATGGCTGCGGCGCACGCGACCACACAGTGCGTTGCTCATGACGCTGACATCCGCAGCCACGAGCCGTCGCTGCGCTATTCGCCCACGCGCGATTATGCCGTAATGTCTGATGGCTTCTCTCCTCCTCTTCCTCCTCCTCCTCCTCCTCCTCTTCCTCCTCCTCTTCCGACTACTACTACTACTACTACTACTACTACTACTACTACTACTTCTCTCTCTCTCTCTCTCTCTCTCTCTCTCTCTCTCTCTCTCTCCTCTTCATACTGCTACTGCTAGCTGCTACAGCTACTAATACTAATACTACTCTCTCTCTCTCTCTCTCTCTCTCTCTCTCTCTCTCTCTCTCCTCCTCTCTCTCTCTTACTCTCTCGTTCTCCCCCTCTCTCTCTCTTTCTTTCTCGCCCCCTCTCTCCCTTCCTCTCTCTCCCTCTCTCTTTCTTTCCTTCTCTCTCTCTCCCACCTCTATCTCTCTCTGTATCTCTCGCGCGCGCTTTTTTTTCTCCCCCTTCCTCTCTTCCACTCTCATAATTATTTGCTACTGAACACGCGTCGAGCATTTCGCGTGATTACGCGGGGTTGTTAGGCGCATCGAAAACACACAGCGTCGCTCTCACTCCTCTCTACGCGGCGAGTCAACCTAAACCGAGCAGCATCCTCGCAGCATCCTCGCAGCATCCTCCTCCCGAACGCACGTTCTCGCTCTCTCGCGTCGAGCGTGTCATTCGAGCGACGCAGCTGCGCTTGCTGCTACAACGTACAAATGTAAATATGAGATGCTCGCTGCGTGAGCAGCAGACATTTGTCTGATGGTCTCGCGAGACTCCAATTAACTCTTGGCAGGCTAATAGCTGATAATTAGTGCTTGTTATGGCAGTGTTGTTACCCAATGGGGATCGAGGCTAGCACTCTCTATCGCCAGAGCTGGAAAATCCGCGCAAGTGCATTGTTGTTCTGCGGTTTGTTGCCGCACTACAACCTTTCAGATTGACCCTCTACTGTAGTAATTCGCCGGGAAAAAATACCAAACGCTGTCTTCGCCGGTGAATCGTTTAAGCGAATCGTAATTCTAAACGCAAACGTAATATAAACTAGTGTGGTCTTTAACGCCGCAATATTTAAATACGCATTCGAAAATTACCCCGTCTATATGAAAATTAACGAGAGAAAGACCGCCCCACAACACGAGAGAAAACAATTAATCGTGTTTTAATTTCTATCGTCCGTCACAGTCAGTATTCGCGTGACCGTACCGTGACCGTATCCCCTAAACACACACACACACACACACACACACACACACACACACACACACACACACACACACACACACACACACACACACACACACACTGGCTCGACACACCGTAACGGTCCTCCTCATCGCATGTCAGTCGCCGATCCTCGCAGCCATCGTCATCAGTCGCTAGCCCAGCGTCTGGCTCGACGAGTCATTCTTGCCTCTACATGCTTCCTTGATCCACGTTCCAACCACCATCTACACACACACACACACACCGCTTCTCGCTCTCGAATCACCTAGCACACGAGTTTCTTGCTTCTCATCTCCCCCACAGTATGCTTCCGGCATCAGCTGCCGTGCTCGTGAATTGGTTTGATATATTAATTCCTCTTCTTTCTTCCAGGCTTCACTCTACACGCTCCCATCGACTATCTAGTATCACACATCCGCACTTGTTACCACGTAATCCTCTCGCGTTATGCATTATAGCACAGGACAGGCTAATAGATGATTTGCGTGGCTTTTCTGTCTATCTAATTGAGACCGCGCGCCCTAAGGCGCGCTAAATCAACTCGCACACCAGGATATCAGTCGCGAATGACAAACTCGTGCGAGTCAATGTCCGCCAACGACAGGATACCCCCCAGGTTCCTCGGACTGCGCGCAGCGCCGACCCCCACACTCCCGCCCGCTCCCCCCTCCCTCCCCCTCCTCACATGCCATGCAAACCGCGCGCTTGGATATGAGCGTTGAGATTCGAAATGATATAGAAAACACAAGAGGTCCACACACCTGTCTAGATTTACGTAAACTCGCGTAAAGCAAAGACGTTCAACATATCATACACAACTGTTGTCGTCACATCGCCGCAAAGAGACAAAGACACGCGCACATCGAGTCGCGATGCACGTGCTCGGCCGTGATGATTACAGAAGTAAACACGTGCGCC